CCCCCCCCCCCGGTCTAGGTAGGGTTAATATCAGTACAAGGAAGTGGTTCGCTACGTGCACTAGATAGACCGTAACCGCACACATACGGATCAATATTTTCGCTTTCAATCTGACCTTCTATTGGACCTCTTACTCAGCGTCATTAATACCCTCAACATCAATGGTTCGTGTAAAGAAACTGGAGAGACTGAAAGCTCATTAACAAGAGCTCCAGTCAGTAGGGAAGAAACATTATAACAACATTTTTCTTGAGTTCTTGCATACTAGCATTAGATACAAGATAAGATGATTACGTTGGCAGGTGGGTTGGGTGCCGCTCCATCGTCCGTTTGACTGACAGGTGCGTGAAGAGCTCCCCTGGAGATAATAGCCGGAACTGCAGCTAAAGGTTACCCTGTCTCCATAGTAGTGGCTACCCGATATAGAACCATGGGCTGGTGAGGAAAGAGCTCCGCACGAGACTCCTGCGGATATTATGAATGATATCGATATGGACTATTCATTATAATACTATGCGGTGACTACATTACAGAACGTTTAAGGTCCGATTTACACATGCGTCGTTTATATCTGTTCGGCGTAAAACGACGCGAGCGCGCGCGCGGCGCCGCACTGCGCGTTCTGTGCGACACATTTTTTAAGCGTATAAAAACCTGCGCCACTGACGCGCGGCGCCGCGCGTCATTTTTCTGTGGCACATCCAGGAGGTACCACAGAAAAACCGACGCGCGGCGAGCGCCGTGAGAGCGCGATGAGAGCAACAAGGAGAGAGCGCACAACGAGCCCAGGATTAACATGGCGACCTCGGCGTTCTCCGCGCTCTCTCCGCGATCCGACCAATAGAGCGCAAAGAGGGCGCAGAGAGAGAGAGCACAATGAGAGTGCCGTCATCAGGATATTGGGCCTTACACCCTTGATTTCATAGCTTGAACATGATGCAGGATGTAGGATGTAGAAGAATGACTGTGAAAACAATAAAACAAGCTAAACGTGCAAAATTCGTTTCTCTTTCTGCAATGAGCTGTGAAATCGTCGGTCGCCCATAAACGTTGATGGCGTGAGTTTTTGGTCGCGCTGAGAGCGCTGAAAGGTAGCCATGTAGATTACACTTGAATACGTTTTTCGTTGATCTCGGCGCTCTCTCCGTACTCTGGCCAATTTCAGGTCGCGGAGAGAGCGCCATGATCATGAGAGCGCCACTAATTCGAATGGAACAAAATTACATCTTAATAGCATATTCAATTTATGTGTCAGCTTGCTCAAAATCACGCCATGTGGAATTCCATCAAGCGTCATGTGAAATATTATTCCACCTCACATGAGGGCAGTTTTAGATGAAGATGGAAACAGCACACATTTGGCATGTTGATTGACATTCTCTAACGTTACACCCTCTAAGTGACAAACTTTACTATCCAATATGTAATTATTTTCTTCTCCATTATCATTTTGTTCTCTCTCGCTTTTTGAATAGAAAATTCATTAAAATACGGGGAACGACATCCAGCGCTGCTTCGTGTATAAGATGAGGGTTTGTTCTCTTTTATCTACTAGTATGTTTAATCTTGAGTAGGTTCACAACTTACTGCTCTGGCAGCACGATCCTGTGTACCCAGCGTTACAGGAACAGCCTGACGTTGCAGCTGAGCCGTGATTACAGCTGCTTGATCCAGTACACCTCCGAGTTTCTGAGGAGGCACCAGAACACCCAGCTCCTCCACATGATGCTGCAACAACTACCGTTCTAATGATAGGAACAGATGGAAATAAAAGCGATCAATTTAATGAAGAAATAAAGTCGTCAAAGTTAAAGGACAAAACATTGGGTACAATTAATCAGCGCAGTGTTCAAATAGCAAGTTTTTTTTATCTTGGAGATTACATGTTAGCGAATAGTTAAACCTTAAAGTTTATTGTTTCCACTGACATATATTCTGTACGTATATTAAATATATATATATATATATATATATATATAAGTTTTTAGAATACCATACAAAGGTGCTGCACTTTTTTGAGTCAATAACAAAGAATCTTTATTAATTCATCTTTCACTGTGTGGGACTGGGACTGCAAATTGGGTCTTTAGACTAGATCTTTAGTCCGCCCTCCCCCGACGTATGGGTATTTTATTGTATATTGTGCATGACTTTATTTTGCTTATCGTGGCTGGTGCCTTATTGGAAACAGCAATCTACATTTTGAATTTTATAAATAAGCTGCAATTTGTTCGTACGCACAACATAAGACTAAACACATGAGTAGAGGAGATGGTAGTCTGGACGAATTTATGCAAATTTATGCAGATTTATGCAAATATAGTAATGTATGCAGATGTATGCATATTTCATAATTTTAATGATTATGCGTTCATTTATTAATAAATATGAATATTAATGGATAATTATGAGTTAATTTATGTATATTTTGATATGATATATTATGACGTCATTGGAAGGGGTCAGATAGAGTTCAGTGTGCACTTTTGATCCCGGCTACCTGGGTAACCTGTTGCCTAGGCAACGTTTTGTGAAAAATGATGTCACGCCCACCGACATTGTTACTTTGACATGGTTAGCGCCAGCATTTGCGGTAGCTGATTGGGTGAAAGGAAACGTAGGTGACTTGTCCTGCGTATCCGGAGTAGTCGATTGGTTTGCATGTACTTTACATGTGAAGTAGGAGACGTACTTCACGGCGATTGGTGGAAGGTCTGTGGGTGTCTGTCAGAAAAGTGTATGAAGTGGCAACAGAAACCGGCGAGAAACCAGTCCCACTTGCGGAGACAAACCTGCGTCGAACTCTGTCGACAGCGAGCAAACTAGCCGAGGTCCAAGAAAGCCCTGGGAGACACTCGATCGAGAAGACCGTAGCTGCCGATTGACAACATCATGGCCCGTGGCGGTAACGACAACGTGCCCGACCTGCCTGTAGATGAGCAGACCCTTGGTAACGTGTTCCGTGAAATATGTGGACACCGGTACCGCGAGACGTTTGGCCGATTGATGTAAACGTGTTGCTCCGGAGTACAATATTACTCCGAAATAAGTATTTTTTTGAGTAAGATATTACTCCGGAGTAACTATTACTCCGTTTTGGAGTAAATATTTTACTCCGGAGTAAGTGTATTTGTAGCAAGTAAGTATATTTGTCATGGTTGTCCGTATCGTGTATCCTCACATGCATGATGTGTAGATATATCGTATATGCATATACATAACCGTCGGAATGTGTGTGCGCGCGCGCACGTGTGTGTGTCTGTGTATCTATATACATATACATATACTAGTACATATATCGATATAAACGTGTTGCTCCGGGGTACAATATTACTCCGGAGTAACTATTTTTTGGAGTAAGATATTACTCCGGAGTAACTATTCCTCCGTTTTGGAGTAAAAATTTTACTCCGGAGTAAGTTCTTTTGTAGCAAGTGCATGATGCATGCATGATGTGTAGATATATCGTATATGCGTCGGAGTAAATGATTACTCCGGAGTAAGTGAACTAGTGGTTCATATCCCTGTCACGTATGTTTGTGTCTCATGCGTGCATACATTGACACAACGACGTAGAAGGCAGTAGGGTTTGTCACACTTTATTGATCACTTATAGGTCAAGACTGTTCCGAAAAAAACTCGCAAGACAGCGTACGTCTTGTCATGTAGGTATCGCTGTTACATTAGGAATAGTCGTCCTATCGGCAGAAGGACGATGCTGTATTATTTCAGAACAAGGTAACCGTATTTTTTCATCAATGTCTGCTCTGGGGCCCAGCTCTTGCTGTACTCGATGTTGTAACCGTAACGAGGCATGGCAGCAAACTCTACAAGATAAAACTTTTTGCCAGCGCGTTTTGTCTCTTTCATCACGCGTTGAGGGACATCGCCTGGTTCGTGCTTGAGTGGAATGGACCAGTCTCGATAGAGCGTCCACTCTTCCTCGTCACCGCTGTCATAGCCGTGCTCTTCACTTTCATCATAAGAAGCCGTGCTGGAAGAAACGTCCGAGCCTGCATCACTCTCAGAATCACTTTCATCGCTGTCGGTTTCTGTCACTGACTCTGCCTCCTCAGAGTCCACCACAGATTCATCTTCGTCTGAGACGGTTACTTCATCTTGTGACACTGTCGGTTCCTTGTCTTCTTCGTCTTCCTCATCGCCCGATGAATCAAGCGCGTCAGTGTCATGTTCATACGATATGTCGGAGTCGTCGTCAAAACATCGCGCTTTCGGTAAGATCCTGTCTCGGGATCTACGACGCCTCCCCCCGAGGCAACAGCTGACTTGTCTCGGTGTTTTCTTTCCTGGTGACGATCAAGGTTAAACTTACGAGCAAACTCTTTGTCACAGATTTCGCAGACGAAAGACATGCTTCCTTTCTCTTTCTTGGGCAAGGGAGGAATGAGGCGAGGTTTATGTGCACATGAAATATACCACGATACTTACCAAGTCATTATACACAATATCAATATCCATGCAAATGTGATATGTGTGAAGTTTCCTGAGTAAGTGTATGTACGTATTATGTTTATGTATGCAGAGTCTGACAAATATGCACCATATGCTACAAATACACTTACTCCGGAGTAATACTTTACCCCGAAACGGAGTATTTTCTTACTCCGAAACGGAGCGATTTTTACTCCGGAGTAATATTTTACTCCGGAGCATCACACTAACTCACTCACTCTCTCTCTCTCTCTCTCTCACACACACACACACAAAAAGAGACAGACAGAGATAGATAGATAGATAGATAGATAGATAGATAGATAGATAGATAGATAGATGTTTACACATAGACGTCACGTTATATGGTATCTCTTTGTGTGTGTGTGTGTGTGAGAGAGAGAGAGAGAGTGAGTGAGTTAGTTAGTGTGATGCTCCGGAGTAATATAGTACACGATATATCTACACATCATGCATGTGAGGATACACGATACGGACAACCATGACAAATATACTTACTTGCTACAAATACACTTACTCCGGAGTAAAATTTTTACTCCAAAACGGAGTAATAGTTACTCCGGAGTAATATCTTACTCAACAAATACTTACTCCGGAGTAATATTGTACTCCGGAGCAACACGTTTACATCAATCGGCCAAACGTCTCGCGGTACCGGTGTCCACATATTTCACGGAACACGTTACCAAGGGTCTGCTCATCTACAGGCAGGTCGGGCACGTTGTCGTTACCGCCACGGGCCATGATGTTGTCAATCGGCAGCTACGGTCTTCTCGATCGAGTGTCTCCCAGGGCTTTCTTGGACCTCGGCTAGTTTGCTCGCTGTCGACAGAGTTCGACGCAGGTTTGTCTCCGCAAGTGGGACTGGTTTCTCGCCGGTTTCTGTTGCCACTTGATACACTTTTCTGACAGACACCCACAGACCTTCCACCAATCGCCGTGAAGTACGTCTCCTACTTCACATGTAAAGTACATGCAAACCAATCGACTACTCCGGATCCGCAGGACAAGTCACCTACGTTTCCTTTCACCCAATCAGCTACCGCAAATGCTGGCGCTAACCATGTCAAAGTAACAATGTCGGTGGGCGTTACATCATTTTTCACAAAACGTTGCCTAGGCAACAGGTTACCCAGGTAGCCGGGATCAAAAGTGCACACTGAACTCTATCTGACCCCTTCCAATGACGTCATAATATATCATATCAAAATATACATAAATTAATTTATAATTAACCATTAATATTCATATTTATCAATAAATGAACGCATAATCATTAAAATAATGAAATTTGCATACATCTGCATACATTACTATATTTGCATAAATCTGCATAAATTTGCATAAATTCGTCCAGACTACCATCTCCTCTACTCACGTGTATGTTTTGTACAGTAAGTACAAGCTACATAACCGGACTGCAATGTTTACTCCACTACTCACATCGGGATGGACCCCTACTCATTTGGACAAGTTCTCTATCGTGCTCGTAGCTCAATGGAAATGTGACCGCTTGTCTTACGCCCCATCCAAAAGGACATAATCTATCTCAAGCTACATAATTTTCTGGACCCTTTTACTCACACTGTTTGAAGGAAGAGGGGTTGGGTAGTTTTAACGTGGGAATCAGGAAAACACGGATAGGCGGGAGTCCAAAGTTTTGGGGAGGGTACAGAAGTGTAGGAAGGGCCTCAGATTTAAAACGGGGGGGGGTATGTTTATATTAGTGTGTGTGTATTCTACATAAAGAGTAATATTGAAAAAAAATGTCTGGATGTCTGATGAGATTGTGGCATCGGTACTGTAGGAACCGAGGAATGCTAGTTCACTTAACTTTCAAATACCTCAAGTATGAAATTCATTCAATTTACCTCCATAATCCAAACACATACAAACGCCTAAAATTACTCTTTCGCTAAATAGAACAACTTTTGAAGTTTACACCAAGTTAAAACAATACAAAAATTGTGCCTGGCGAAGGCATGTGTTTCACGAACTCTAGTTACGTGCATATTTTTGGTTGTGGCAGCCCAATAACTACAAGTAAATCAGTCTACTGGTAAAAAAAATTATAACATTAATTAATTCACCGACGGAAAAAATTATTACTTGTTTTATCATAAAGGAAAACACTTCCAAATAGATAAGAAACAGAGATTGCACCTTGTACAACTTTGAGTGCCTCCTCCACATGAAGCGCTGCACGCGGTGCAGGACCAACCAGACCATTGGCAGTTGACAGCAGAGCAGCCACCGCCACGACGACGTCTCCAGCCGTTCACGTCCGCTGTTGACAACAACAGGACGGCCGTCATCAGCAGCACGCCCCTCCGCATCTACACAAGAAACGAATATAACAGCCTCCAGTTTAATTCCGGAACAAATTCCCATATCTCAGAAACCTAACATCTAGATGGGCTAATACCATAAAATCAGTAATTTTGGTTTAAACATTTTCTGCGTTTCATGTTTGATTACACTTGCTTCCCAACATTAATAATATCTTATGTAATCATATATAATTTCTGTCGTTGGATATTCATAATCTATGCTAATTTAATGACTTAATTGGTCAAAATCCAAGATGGTGGTCCATTAGCTCTGGTGTGATCATGTTTTTACCTTCGAAAAGAAGGTCATGTTTTCAGTAGCGTTTGTCCTTTTAGCAGCTTGTTCTGGAACTGCAGGAGCGTTTTTTGACAAATCCTCGAAGAAGAATAACTCAAGAACCGGTTAACGGATTGTATTGTATTTGGTATGTAGGTAGTTGAAGTGATGCTTGACATAATCCGATGGCAATTATGTAAATCATGAGCTAATTTGCATAATTAATGAGGGCATTCTATAAATCTGCTTCGTTCGATAATAGGACTATGAAACTCTTGTGACATGTAATTGAGAACGAGAAAAACATCTGAGGATATAGATTATAAATGAAGACCTAATTTGCATACCTAATGGGAAATTGCTATGATTTCACAGTTGTAGTAACTGGGAATTTCATACTTGCCGCAATTGGAAATTAAGTGAAGGTGAACATCAATAAATATAATTTATTCAAATTATGACCTCATTTGCAAAATTTATGAGGAAGAGCTAGAATAGCCTTTGTGTTAAGATAAGGCAGTCATTGATTGGAGAATATGATCAACTGCTACAATCCATGCAAATGAGACTCTTTTTTTTGCGAAATCAATTATCCTTTATTAAATTTTCATCGAAATTGTATAATTCGTCAACCTGAAGGGTTAACATCATTTGGCGAAGGTATGAGATCGTGGGATCTTGTTTCACTATTTTTAACCACAACTCCGTATTTTTTTCATATAAAACGTTCATATAAACATATTTAGTCCATTTGCATTGCATTTTGAGGCTTTGTCTTTAAAAAAATAATTTCAAAAATTCAAGATCGACCATCCAAGATGACCGATAGTTAAATATCCATCCTTTCCCCTGGACGTCAACGCACTATTAATACAAACATATGGAACTGTCAAGAAATTTTCTATGGAGGAACTGTCCAGACCAAAATGTACTTTTTTGCCAGGTCTTCGCATTATGTATGCAAACACATGGTTTAATGTTGGTTAAGAACTTCGAATCACCAACCAGTTAGAAATACATGACAGTGATTTACAGTAGCATGACAAATGCAGTCTTATGTCACTGCAAATTTGGTTCTCTTATTACTCTGACGAGCTATATATCCCACTGACCATTTATCAATTTGGCTAAGTACGCTTGGCGGCCATTCCATAGAGTAATAACCGACCCAAACCAAGGACAAGTAAATTTTGTTTTTGGTGAAGAAAAATAGCCCAAAAAAGATTTTGTTATGAAATGTATCTGTTGTTTGCCCACATTGCATACGTGTGATAAAATATGAAGACCCTAGCAAGTCCAGCACAGAAGATACAAAAACCGGACATTTTAACAAAAGGACACCGTTTCAGGTCTAATAAAAGCCTAAGCCACGGATCCATAAATGAAGACATAATGGTGGAAAATGAGTTAACTAGGATGTAAACATAAGTAATAACTAATTACAATTGAGTAGCTGAGTAACTAAAGGTAAATAAATTTAACAGAATGGTAATATCAAACAACAAAAATAATGACAGTATGAATTACTATTATGGGTAAATTATTCAATATCAACTCAAAATAAGTATGACAGAATAGTGACAAGTTAACCCTACCTAGACCGGGCTTTTTTTTGACATGGGGGGACCGGGGAGGGGGCTCTTTTGACCCCCCCGTAAGAACTCGCGAACGGTATGTCGTATGACCACCAACTTTTCAGAGAATGGTGTACTAGTAAAAATTTATCATATGTACACTTTTATGTCGTTATGACGTAATATGACGTCATTATGACGTCATTAATGTGATTTTATTGGCCAAAACCGTCTAAATAGGTTTTTCTCTGAAAACTAAATGGTATTCAACATAACTGTACCAAAAGTGTTTATGACAGAATATTATCAATGGTGTACTAAGTCTTATGTTGCCCATAGCAACACTGGTGACGTCATAAAATGACGTCATGCATATTTAAGATATCCGCCATCTTGGATCATCAATCTTGAATTTTCAAAAATAGTTTTTTTCATGATAAAGCCTAAAATGTCGTGTCGTCGGGTGGTGTAGTGGTTAGAGCAATCGACTGTGAACCGGGAGACCCGGGTTCGATTCCGAGTCGTACCCGGTACATGTCTGAACATGCGCCCCGACGTTGTGCCCTTGGGAAAGGCACTTTACACGAATATCCTCACTCCGCCCAGGTGTGAATGGGTACCTAACTTCGGTTGGGGAAAGTCGTATTGAGGTCACCTTGTGGCGCCGAATGGCAGCCGCACAGACCCTTGCGACTGTGTGTATCATTTGAATGTTGTAATTGTTGTGATTTGTATTGATTATTATGTGATACCCTGCATCAATTCAGCAGTAAGGCTGCGACTGCACTGTTTGGACAATAAAAAAACATTATTATTATTATTATTAAAATACATTGTAAACATACTAAAGACCTTCATTTAAACCTTTTTTGGAAAAGGAAATGGAAGTATTGATGAAATTTTAATGAAAATAACCTTTATATACCTGTTCTAATGATATGGTCCGCCATCTTGGATTTTGGCCAATGACGTCATCAAATTAGCATAAATTATGCATATTTAATGATAAAATTTACATAAAATTATATGGGATGTTATTAATATTAGAAACCATGAGTAACTTGACATAAAACCCATAAAATTCTATTGTTTAAACAAAAAGTACTAAATTTAGCAAAAAATGCCTGTCAGAAACCCGTTGCCATGTATTAGTTAAAGGATGGGCGGAGCGAGTTTATGTGGATTTGGTACAGCCCCGCCCTTCCAAGGATTTTGTTGGCATCCCGAGGGCGGAGCCAACAAAATCCGAGGGGGGTGCGGGGCTGTACCAAATCCACATATACGAGCAATTCGCCC